TAGTAAACTAGCATTGTACCCGACCTCTGCAGTTCCCCATCAGGTTCATCAGCAGAGGGCGGGTACAATGCTAGTTTACTATTCGCTATTGCAAATTGAAATAGCCAATAGTAATGTCCCAATGCTTTTTAATGGGAGAAATTTTTATTTCTATTCTGACATCGCTCGTGTCAGAATAAAGAAAAAAAAGACAGGCACTGTTTCTCTCCTGGGCGGCCGGGAGCGGGAGGCTCCCAGAGCGCCCGGGAGATTTTTAACTTTTTTTTAACTTTTTTTTTTACAGCAGCAGAGCCGCCGGACAATAGGAAACTATTGGGCGGAGCTAGCTGTCACTGCTAGCTCCGCACAATCGTTTTCTATTTACTTTTTTTACCTTATTTAACTCTTTTTCTGTTCTGCTCGGTCCCTCTGAGGGACCGAGCAGAACAGCCGAGCCAAATGCCGCTCAGCGGCATTCGGCTATTCACTCACTGCTGTTCGGCATCTTTAAGAATAGCCGTAACAGCAGTGAGAAGCCTGCCGGAGGTTCGGCTCAGCCGATCCAGATGTTGGATGGGCTGAGTCGAACTCCTTCTGCACTTCGGCCGAGCATGTTCGGCCGACCCGAAGCCACACGAAGCAGGCCGATGTACGGCGGATTTCAGCCGATGTACGGCTGAAATCAGCCGTACCAGCCTGAAGTGAATAGCCGAACAGTGTTCGGCTCACTTCACTTCTGATCGGTCATTCACTCGGCTGCCCTCGGCAGCATAGTGAATAGACCCCAATATATATACACATATACACATATACACACACACACACAGTATATATCTGAAAAATCTTTCAGTGAACATTACTCAAGCATTGTCCTCATGCCTCTAAGGCTTCATTCAAATATAGCGGCAGTGTTTTCCACATAGAAAACGGCGCTGTACGAAAGCGCAACGTTAACATATGCATGTATTCCGCACATTTGCGCCTATTACTATAGCCGGAACGCACAGAATCCCCCCAGAAAATCGTGCTTGCACTTTTTTGTGGGACGTGCATTTTCGTACTACGAGGACATCGCCCTAGTGTGAACAACACACATAGGGAAACATTTTGTTTTGTGTGTTGTCACGCGTATCAAGCAACGGCAAAATCGCTAATGTGTGAACGTAGCCTCAAGCAGCTGTTCATAGAGGACACATGGGTCTCATCTAGTTAATCTTCAGCTGAAACTAAGAATGCCATTAAACAAAACATGCACACATCACATTTTATATATATTTTTTAAGCAAACCAAGCATTGAAACCATAATTTGAATGCAATGTAGCTGAAATTAAATTAAACATATAAACTAGCTGTCACAAAAAGCATTTAATGCCAACATGTATTCTAGGTGTGGCTAGGGCCATCAGCTAGTATAGGGCCGATTACCCCTTTCACCACAGCCTCTTCAGTATTTTAACCCCAGTTATATTGGCAACTTTGTAAACTCTCCCTGGGCTTCTCATTGGCAACTGAACTCAAGAGTCAAACAGTAGTTGGAAGGTTGATATAAATGGGAACAGATGTTTTTCCTTGTCACTCCATGATATCAGTGGGGTAGAAATGCTGCTCCCAACAACTCTTCATGTTTGCCTGTTTTTGTTCAGCTAGTACTAACAATGTAAGGAAAAGTAATTTATTGTCAAATTTAGAAAGTATCATGGGACTGAATTGGGTCAATCCTTCAAATGGCATATTCACAATATGACTGTACAATTTCTTTACACAGTATTTATAATTTACCAACAGGTATTCAACAAAGGGGTCTATTGACACAACCTATTCAGTTTAATACCAGTCAGAAAAGCCCTTGCTGTACATAAATGTCGGTGAATCTAAAGAAGATTGCACTTCAAGTGTGTAATGTGTGGCCAGCTTTAGATACCATATTTTGATCCAGCAACGGGAGGTGAAAAGTGTCCCTGGAAATAATTTGAAATTGTTCACAACTATGCTGGCCTAGGACTGTACGTACTAGTCACATGGTATAATTACAATGGTTAGTTACAGAAATGCAGCCGTCAGTGATTTATAGTACTACCACTGTTACAATGTAAAATATGAAGATATATCCTGATAAACATAATCATAAATATAAGTTGTGTTGTGCGGTTAGTGTTTTTTTTAGTTTTGGATAGAGTAGGGAAGGATTCAAACTGGTCAGGTTTTTATTGTTGTCTGTGCCCTCACAAGGCAGTTTAACTTTCTCCCTTTGTTCTGGTGACCACCATCACTGAAACAGAAAGTAATGGGGAAAAAAAAAATCAAAAATCCCTAATTTTACAGTTGTCACCAGAACAAATTAATTAAAATTTTCCAATGAGGACACTTGATCCAGAGAACACTGTCTAATATGGTAAATTGTCTCTCATATCCGGTTGAGTCTCCAGCACAGAACGTTAAGGTAAGTCTTGCCAATGGGACACAGACAACGACCCTTTCCTGCGCTATCCAAAACTAAAAAAAAGAAAACATGTTTTGGCAATTCATACTCTTTAAGGTCTGTGCTTACACACTCCTGTTGAACCTGGTCCCCCACAGTACACAAGGTTTAAGCACCCGTCATAGGTATATTGTGCTTTACAGTCTAAGAAGCAGTCTAAGAAGCAGTGCTCTGAAGCAAACCTTCTGGTAGACTGCTGTATTGCTAGACTCGAGTCTTTCACTTACCCTGAGAAATTGTCTCTCGGTAAGCTATCGATGTGCCTTAGGACTGTTTTGCTTAACTCAAACAAGACATCATGTAAACTTTGTTCCTCGATCTTCTTTGTTGTGAGCTCCAGCAGCTGTGTGGTTCTCCTGAACAGTTTGCAGGCATAACAGGTGGCAGCAGCCGTCTCCATTTTGTCTCCTGTGAGGACCCATACCTTAATGCCAGCTTTCTGTAAAGATTCTATGGTATCTGCTGCTTTTTCCTGGAGCCTAGGAAGAAAGAATGAAAAAATATTTTCCAGTCATGAACCAACTTTATCCTGAAGCATGTTTGTGTATATAAAACTATAATATTTACTAGTATTTCTATTACTAACTCCTCTTATGGATGATTATTTGCTATTGGGGATGCTTCTGTCTAGCACATAAATCTGCAGACTGATAGATTTCTTTACACGAGCAGTTTTGTGTGGAGGGAGAACCTGGTGTGATTCCTTACACTGAGGTACAGACTGTTATGTACACTTGCATGAAGATCTCCTGTCAAGTTCCTCACCTTGAAACTGTGTTTGTTATTGTGTTAGAAATGTCCTTAATTAAATCATTTTAAGCCCAACTCGAACGAGTACTGATACATTTTTTTAATTGTCATGTGACAGTTTTTCTAAAACAATACAGACTAATGATTTCAGGACAGTGGTGGAGGGCCAGAGCCAGGTCCCAGCTGCAACCGCTGCAACCCTGGTAGTTCTCATGAAAATGCCAAGTATCTGCACTGGTACCCAAAAAGTATCTGTTCATCCCTAGTTGCAGGTATTATGTAGCTCCAGAACAGGGTGCACAGACATATGTACTTCAGCTATCCTAGTTAAATGTATTGACTATTTTGTTGCTCTAGAAAGCTGATCACCGGGTAGCATTATTTATACCATTTCTACTTTACTTTTTAGATTTGATTTTAATCTGCCGTATATGAACATCAGTGAAAATAGAAAATGCGTAATATATTCCTCTGATAACACTTAAATCACCCTATTCACATTTCTAAGTTCTGCATTACGCTTTCTTCGCTCTTTGGAAATGAATAGAATACTGTGTACTTGTTATTTGCATAAAGAATGATTAACACCGGACTAAACCTGTCTTCTACTGCTGTGGCACCCAGTAGGATGAGGTTCTGCTCAATCTGTTCATATGCCTCTGCCAGCTTCTTCTCTCTCTCTTGTAGAGCCAGCTGTGCTCTCTTTAGAAGCTTATCCACATCTTCGTATTCGTCTTGTGTAAACCTCTTATAGGCTACGCATAAAGTCCTCAGACCTTCCTGTAATAAGGAAAAGTCACTGGTAAAATGCAATGATTCATGTGCTTGTCATCTTTGTCTGCTCTCTACAGTAAAACATGCTTCATTCTAGTAAACTCATTTAGTAAAACATACATTCATTCAGGTTATAATCCTTCCTAGACACTGAATCAGCACAGGTTTGTTTTTCTCTGTTGTACACATTAATAAAACACAGTCTATCGGAAGTATTAATGGGCAGCTCCAGGCAAACAGGTAAATACACAGGTGACGCACATACATCGACATATATTATCCTCATCCAGCAAACCCTTATGTGCTGCATAGCATTTCCAGGAGCTACAGTTCTGCAAATTTTGTGTCAGTCCCTCGCCTTTATTCTGCTCTAGGTATTACTACTGTAAATTGCATATACTATAAACTCAGCACCACAAAGTGATGGTCGCTTACATTAATATCAATATAACAGTTAAACAGAAATGCCTGTAAAAAAAATTAAATACTTAGCTGTCCTGCTGCCTGCCCACTAATCTTGATGCTTACCCGTCCCGCTGCCTGCCCTCCAATCTTTGCTCTCATGTTGACAGTGGGTCATTTCAAACACTGCGTTTGCTATTTGCTAAATGCAAACGTTTGAATGGCAGACACAGCATTTGACAAGGAAAAGCTGTGTTTGACCTGCTTTGCCTGGAGTTAGGGCATGTTGCATCCAAAGAAACGCAGCGCAACACAAAGCAGGTCAAATGTAGTCTCTGAATTGCAATGTGTGCTGCTCAAATAATGTCAATGGGATTTTGCTGATCTGTGCATACCAAATGCATGTCAAATGTGGGACAGCACCCATTAACATGAGCCCATACGGTCTCTTTCAATCTGCACTGCTGATCAGAGCAGTGCAGATTGGATGTCAACGCTGTGACATTTGTGTCCGTTCAGTGTTTTCCTCCATCTTGCAATCAAGGAAAAAACAAAAACTGCTGGACTGTCGGTCTATAGGGATTCAGATATAAATGGACATGTGTCCATTTACATCAGATTACCCCCAATCAGGCACGATCAGGTCCGGCGAAACGCATCTCTGATCCGTTTGCTTTCCTGGACCTGGCCAGAATCGGGGGTTACCAGGTATAAACGGACGCCCATCTGTTTATAGTTATTATAGCTTTTGTCTTCTTGTCCCATTGACAACAACTTGCCTTATTTCTTTCCCTGCTGTCACAGGGATGTAAAAATGAAAAAGACATCTTTCTAATGGGTTCATGGACCACAATAAACACTTGACAGAAGAATTTACTCTTCCCAAATAAAAAAACAACATGATGTTTTGGCTGGAGGTAGGATTTAGGTCACTAAAAGCACTCATACAAAATCATTTAATTAAGTGAAGTATTAAAGTGTATTACCACAGCATTTCGCTCAACTCTGGCTCGGATTTGGTCAACCTTCCCCTCCCTGACTCTGGGAAATATAGAAGAATCTGCTCCTTTGCAAAACAGGATGATTTCACCTGCAGAAACAATATCATTGGCTCTTTAGTAATAGCGAAACATAACCTTTTGAAATTTTGTGAAAATATTAGCTTATAAATCTTCAGTCATAGACAAAGAATGAATTGTTATTCCAAGAATACATGAATATATAGCTATACAATAAAATAATCAAAAACATGTTGCCAAAAATCATAACATCCAATACACGTTACCTTAAAATCTATGTTAACCGTCCTGAAGGGGATAAATAAAGAGTAAGATGCATGTTATTCCTGGAGAACAAGTTGCTAAGCTGCCTTTAGTGCTAGTCATATGTCAACAGCACTGAAGGGAACCTGGAGCAGCATTTCCTTCAGGAAATGTAAATATTTCAGCACTTCTATTACTCTTTATGTACCCAACCTAGAAATTCCATTACAAAATAGCTTCACTAATGAGAAGTCTAATTTAAAGAAGAACTCTGGGGAAAATTATTATTTACCCTTGCACAGCTACCCTGCACTGCAAGGGCTAACTGCTCGTTTTTGTGTAGGTGCTAAAAAAAAAGTTATACTCACCGGAACCGCTACTTCTCTGGTCTCTGAAACCTCTCTTCTCCTATGCTGCAGCATTGGAATGTTCCTCAGCATCCTCAGTGTGAATAGAATGTGAGGATTTGTGGGACCTTAGACTACCGGAGAGGTGGGGGATAGATGCTGGAAGGAACGGTCTAAGAGCAAGACGGCTCCTAGGAATGGGTAAGTATACATTTTTACTTTTTTGGGGGGGACCTAGACAAAAACTAGCAGATAACCTATGCTATGCTGGTGTAGCCCCACTGCAATAAAATGTTTGCCCAGAGTTCTCTTTTAATAAGTCAAGGGACATTTAATAAGTGCATAAGAATCCCCTAATCTGGTTGGACTAAACTAAAGCTCAATTGGCTACAATGGTTAAATGAAATCTGTAATGACACAGCTTGAAGGCTGCCATTGCTGAATGCCTAGGGACAATGCCAGCGGCCTGGTTGTCACTTGCTTAATATTAACTTCTCTAGAATAAGCATGCAAATGCAAAGTCAAAAGAAAATCAGAATGTCTGATGTTCATACTTAGTCCCAGTTAGCCCTGCATATCTAGAAAACTAACAATGGCAGTCTAATTGATTTTCTCAGAACAAGTTTCCCTTAATGCACTGTTATATTATCACTGCTCTATAACTACCTTATTGAAAAAGCATTTATGTATATTTCCTGATGCTCCTAACCTAATCATGAGCGCTACCTGGCATGAACGGCATGTAAAACTATACAGGAAATGCATTCCATTGTCCTACCTCACTGGCCAACCTTCCTAATACTGGTGGATAATCATTTACTGCAAGGACAGGAATTCTTGCTTGTTGGCGTAATGTGTACACAATGTAAATCCTTCGGACAGATTCAATATATTGAGCTGTGCCCTTTTAACCTATGAACCCATGTATTTACTAAACTCATGTACAGTATTTCTTTTTGGGATTTCTTCCTTTTTTTTCCCCACGACCTTCATACCATTTTGGAGAAGTTGTTTGCTGCTGTTTTTATGGGATTTAACATTATTATGTGTATAGAACATAGGATATGTGTACACTCCCAACAATGAATGTAGTCATTCTTTCCCAAAAGCAGTTCTGATCACTATGAATTACAAATAGCTCACTGCAACTATAATTGATCTCAGTGATTAGTGGACATGCCAGCACCCATTTACACTATTAATGCTGCTTGTAGCTAGCTAGCTTGGCTGCTTTATTTTAGGTATAAATTTCACATTTACCTTTTGCGTTATGACCTAAAATAATAAAAAAGAACAGTAAAATAATCAATTTTAAATATTAGGTATTCCTCTTCGCAAAAAGTAGAAAAAGCTTTAGCCAATGATCAGGGCTGGATTTACTTTATTTGCTGCCCCAAGGCCAGGTTCCTCAATGGAAAATCCGCCCCTGCCAATGATAGAATATACTAAGACATCCTTTATCCTGCCAGGGCAAAAGAAACTCCACAGCTTTTTGTTACAATCATGGAGCTCCCTCAAAATCTCTAAAATAACTTTGGATTTCTGACTGTTAGCCTCAAAAGCTCCAAAATGGGTAGTGATTGGGACAGGTTTTATACAAGCAGATCCCCAGGACTGGAATTACTTACCCATAAATAAAGTTTTTGAATTATTGCTGAAACTGTAGAACCCCTTTAAGTCACGTGCATTGCTTTTCCCTTATAAAACCTTTGAACACCTATAACTTATGCAAACCACAGAAAGCTGGTCACAATCTAGCCTTTAATTTTGATTTGACGAACATGTCCATAAAACGTGAAATTATGCAATGCTCTTTGTCCACAGTATAAGATGCATTTTGGCATTACACAATACATTGCCTCGCTGATTTCTTTCTGTACTGCTAGCTATAACCTATTTCGCCATTAGCTTGTTTCGGTTACTACTTGTGGCAGTTGAGTATTTACATAACCATGAAAAAAAAAAAAATTACATTAAGCAAATCTATTTGTAATAATCAAGAGCTTGTATGTATAAAGTTTAAAAAAAAAAGTCTAGCCTAGACATTGCTTAATGTAAGGAGAACAGAGTTTTCAATCTGATTTTGCAATTATGATCACTCAGTGGTTAGCATAGCTGTCTTAGTCTTGTGAGTTTTTATTTCCACTAGATCGTGTTAGCTGCAGCCTTAGAGGTATAAAAGAAATATGAATAGGTTCAGTTGTAGGGCTATATGACTAACACGTTCTAGGACATTTCACAGTGATGTCACATCCAACCTCCCACACCTTACAGCCTAAGGACATGGAACTGCTTAATTCCTCCCTTCATTTGAAATTCATGTTCTCGCAGTCATGAAACATGCTTCGTCACATTCTTTCTTTCTAGTGATAAAATAGACATGGTATTTCAAACACAAACAGCAGAAAAGACAATGTTGAAACAGGCAATGTAGGCACGCTCTACCTGTGCATGATTTCACTATGACACTCATACGCCTTCTCACAGAATCGAACGTTAAAACGTGTAGCAGTTCAAATCTAAAGGATCCAAAGAGACAAAATGTAAAAGAAAAATATGAATTAGTGACAGCTAGACATGGACTGGCACATATTCACTGTATAGCATCAGTATATTAATGGACAATTGACAGAAAGCATTTGTAACATTCACAGCAGCATGTCCCCAGTGGAGTTAAAGAATTTGTGTCCAGTTGTTGTAAAACACAAACACTCTAAGCCCTCTATAGTCCGTAGCCTGTAATCCTACCAGTATACAATGACATTTTGGAAAGAAGCAAAGAGAAAATTCACACAAATACACACAGGAATACTTCTGAAATGTCCCCCCCTGTTGGGATGTAAACAGCGCATTGCTGCAATATAACGGTATAATTTGCTGAAGCACTCAGGGGTGGACGCCCCATTTTGTGGACTGTGCAGCCACACAAAGGCTCTTTGGGACTTCATGACCTATTTATTCTGTACGTGAGTTGAACAGGTGCTGGCACCCCTCTTTCCCAAACTGTCACTGTTCACATCCAAGGCAGGTGAGAAGTAGGTGGCATTCTTCATGATGTCCTAACTATGATTTTAATTTGTAATATCCAAGTGGTGTTGGGCAACAAGCATTTAATTCACCCACTGCCTGACAGGTTCTGGGATATGCAGAATGCTTCTCCTGTTTTCTGTCCATGCCATTTGGATTGTAAGTGAAGGGGATGTTCACTACCCCAATTGCAAGTTATGAACTATGAGAACGTTTGGGGTGCTGCAAAGGCTGCTTTTCAATTGCATCCAACTATTGAGCTATGTATCTTACTCTTCTTACTGTAAGCAGCAGTTAAATGGAGGAGGGGTACATAAATTGTCATTAATGAGTATACTGTATATCCATTATTGGAGCCACTATAGTATACATTTAGGCCCAAACACACATACATAAATGGATGTATAAAAGAAGTGTAGTTCACTCAGGTCAGTGGTCATCTAGCATGATAATATACCAATGTCTCCCTGGTAAATGCTTTAGCAACTTAAACTAGATTCATGAGTTTCTATTTCTAAATGAATCTGCCATTTAGAGCAATATTCATCGCTCCCTTTGAACAGAAGCTATAAAGCCCACATGCATCAGTGGTACAGAGCTAGAGAACTGTAAAATTAGATTTCCACTTACAGCTCTGTCTTTGTATTTTCATTAGCCTTTTTTATTTTCTTTATCACTGTAGATAATAAATCACTGATATTAGAACATTGTGGCTAATCTGCTGACTCAAACATACCTTTCAATTTCACTTTCTCGATTACAAATCTCTAAGTAATTGTCCTTTAGCCGCAGAAATGTATAGCCAAGTCTAAAACAGAAAAGAAAGGTCACAATGTCTCAATCGAGAGGCAGATATCTATCATAATGTAGTTTAGAGAACGGTTACACTATATACACACATCTATATGTTAGTTTGCATAGAGCTTCATCCCTGTATCAGGTGGGTTATGCTGCATTGAGAGACGTTTGCATAACATCTCTTTGCACCATACAGGTAATCAAATAGCACTTTGCATGTGCAGAAGTCCCTGGTCTCAAATAATGCCTCTTCAGACATCATGGCAGTAAAAACATTTTTTGTCCTCTTAGGGGGTTGGGAAAAAGGGCCAGAGTCAACAGGCTTTTGTTCACTTTAGAACTGCTTCTCTCCCCTTACAAGTCTATGGAAATGCAAAAGCAGATAAAACAGGTCAAATGCAGGTCAACTGTATGTCAAAACCACACTGAATTTCTGTCACAGTTCAGCTGAAAAGTTGCAGCTGAGCTGTCACTTGTAGTTCTACAAGTACCGTGTTTCCCCCGAAAATAAGACCTAGTACTATTTTGGGGAATTGCTAAAATACAACACCTACCCCCAAAATAAGACCTAGTTGTGACCATTCCCAGGGACAGTGGTGGCATAAGTGGGAACTTGAAGAGCTGTGGGACAGAATCAGCGGTGTTGACGAAGCCAGCACTAGAGGAAGAGAGGCGGCAGCGGAGGGAGCAGAGCCGCATAAGCCGATGCCTCCTCTATAGCGCCGACTCCTGTCACAGGCGGAGTGATACCAAATGCACTCCACCTGTGAGGAATCGATAGTGAAAGCGCGCTTCGCTCATTCTGGCCAGTGATTGGTTACCAAATTGCAATTGGAAAGATACTGCAACTTTGACCTGTCCCTGGAAATCCTAGTCTCCAGTCTGCCCCTAACCTCTGGTTTGTCCCTGGAAGTCCTAGTCTTCAGCCTGTCCCTGACCTTTGATTCGTCTCTCGTATCTGTGTAGGCTGGCTGTTAGTCCCTTGCGCCCTGGGGGATCCCATGCTACCTACACATTCAGCATTCAGCTACCTACACATTGCCTCATTCAGCTCCACAGCTCCTGTCCCTGCTAGAACTCTAGCTCTGGGAGTTGTCAGCTTACACTGCCTGCACCCTTTGATCTAGGTGCCCCAGCAAGTGTAGCTGGGGTCCACATCCTAGATTCCAGATTCCAGATAACATCAGTGGGTCCAGATCGTGACAATTTCCCTGTCAAAGCCAGACGACACAGGCCCTTAATGTGCCATTATGGAACTCAGATATCCACAAGTTACATTCAAAGAAGGATAGCATTAAGGAAGGCAGAGAAATGTGGACAACTTCAAAAGTATACCTATTAAGTATTCTGTAAGTCTGATATGGAGGAAGAGGAACTTTATATTGCTGAAGAATAAATGAGGTTGCTGTTAGGGGCAGATTAGTAAAGGAGAACAGAGATGCTGCTAAGACAAAGGTAAGCTTCCAAGCAGGGAATACAATGAATAGCAGGTTTCAGGGTTACAACTTACTATGTATTCCGAATTTTAGGTTAAAAAAATAGAAATTTGGATATATGATTTGTAGCAATTGCATATTTGAAGTGCAATTTGAAGTTTCAGGCCCCATATAGCATGAAAGGCGGGATGCAGTGTATGAGGGCGCACAGCCCCTGCGTCTCTATAGATGCATGATGCATGAGCTGCCTGCCGTTTTGGGCTCATAAAAAGATAGTCCTCACACTGTACAGGAAAACACACCCAGTGTAAATGAGGCCTTATAGCAAAACCTTTAAAAATCAAAGTTTAACATGCAAGTAAATGACATTCATAGAAATTGTCATTTTGAGCTTCTATAATATGTAGGGACAAAAAAAGCTATATTATATTAGTTTCCACAGACGCCTTATCCATGTAACAGTGGGTAAGAGGCCTGAGAAATGCCACCTGATTTACTAAAGTGTGAGTGTATTATGGTTTCAGATAAACTTTATTTCCACTTTTGCAGCCAAATTCGGATAACACATATTTTGTATTTGTTAAATGTTTACATATAGCATAACTTAAACAAAATATTTAAAATATGCTGCTTGCATTTTAAGTGCTTTTTACTTGCTTAAAATCCTACACAGCCTCCCCCAATAATATTAAGAAGGCAGCTAAGTTTACTCTTATTAACTGTGTCTGTACTGTGCTGGCAGATCAAATTATCAGTTGTAAACTAGATGTCTGTCCTAACAAAGGGTTAAAGATCTCAAGGTTTGGATTCTGCATTGTATGTTAAGGAGGGGTAACTTTCTCCCTGTTTGTTTCTCTGAAATTATTAGGAGTACCCTGCAGTCCTATGTATAATCATATTTGAAAGAAAAAAACAAAATAATAAAAAAAATATATATATTTTTAGGTAAGCTGTATAAATGGAAACAAACGCTTAAAAGGAGGTTTCTCAAATTTGATTGAAAAAGTGGAAACTTTAAAACTCACTATCTACATTAGTAAATTTGGTCCAGGATCACGTCACCCATTTGTAAATCAGTCCCATCATGTAGAAAGGAGCCCTGTGATTTCTAAAGGCGGCCCTCCAAGACATACATATCAGCTCATGAATATTAAAGAGTGGCTGTTGTCTGGTTTTATTGCGTCGACCTGCACTTTTTGTACATTTATCCACCACAGAGGTATAGAGTGTTCCCAATTACACTGCCACTGATAAACAAGCTATGTCGCTTCTGATGCAGCTATTTACCCAATAGTATAAGGCCTACCACGGCAGCATTTGGTTTCCTCAAAAAAGCATTCGGAATTACTGCAAAACACCATTAAAAAAACGTTTTACTAATGATGCATTTACAGTATTGATCTAAGTCTCTGGTACTTACCTCTGTATACCTTCTACAAGAGCAACTTCATCGGGTGAGGAGGAAATGTAGACACTGGATTTCCCAGACTGACTGGATTTTCTCTCACCATCTGTGTTGTCTTCATCTTTCACCTGTACCGTGTGGCACAGACAAAGAGCACGGAAGAACAGATCCTCTCGTTCCTGGGATTTTAATAGAGAGGAGAAGGGCTAGAAACTTTATTTTTTGTGTCACTAACTGAGGAAATAACCCTTTCCTGCTAGTGGTTTCACTTTTTCCAAAACTAAAACAAAAATTTGCTTGGAGTTTTGGTTTAAAGTGTGGGGCTAATTACAAAACCAGCAAGTGTAGGTATGAGTAAAGCATGCAAGAAGCTACTGTACATGCATTTCTAAGCAATAAGGCTAACATGGGAGAATAATATAAATATATTGCTTAAAGCATGAGGCATAAAAGATAATTAGTCGCACATTATGACTCAGACACATTACCAAAGCATAGGGCCAGAATATTCAGAATATTACTGATACATAACCCAGCACTAACAAGTACCCAGTGCACACTTCTAGCATAATGCTACATATGTATTAGATTTATTAGGTGATGAATTACTTAAAGGAGAACTATGTGGTGAGTGATTTACACTCATCCTCATAGTTAGAGCTGACGTGTGCCGTTGAAACGGTCACAAGTTGGCTCTATAGATCGGGAAGTGAGCGAACAAATACTGTCGCTCGCTCACTTCCCGATCATCTCCCTGCAGAGAGCCATGACTGTTAGTCACCAATGCCCAACAGGGATTCCCCCCCTCCTCTGTCCGATCCTCCAGCACTGACTGGAGGAACGGAAGGGGGAGGTTGCGGGCACAGCTGGCTCTGCCTCTAGAAAGGCAGAGCCCGCTGTCAATCAGCCAGCTGGGTGGATCTCGACAGTATTGTCGGGATCCGTCCCGGTTGCAGCGCTCAGTAGATAGCGGGAAATACCTCCCGTGACCCTAAAGAGAACTATGGAATACAAAGGTTACTCCATGGTTCCCTTTTAACTTAGAATTACAAATGTTATTTGGTAAACTAGCTGGACATAACAGCTCGGATTTGGGAATTTCTTAACTGGACTTATGAACAATCTTTTTGTAGTTAGTAAAACTGATGCAGCAAAATGTTATATGCATGGGGCCAAGTTTAGTGCTATAATTCAACATGTAAGCAGTCACTTAAAGCAATAACATTAATAGCATAATGCTACAACCTTGTATGATGAAATGGCTAGAAAGCACAATTTCAGTCCCCATTTTGTTGTGCATCATTTCTGTGTATTTAATACAGACTTACTTTTCCTCCAGGTCCAGGTGAGGAATCAATCATGTCAATACCCAAGGAGTCATGTAGGATCTGCCCATTACAGATTACATGTGGTATGTACACATGGCCTTCAATGCAACACTCAATAAATTCCATGTTGTTCTCTGTCAGCGTTCCAGTCTTATCTGTGAATATATATTCTACCTACAGATAAAGGAAAATACACGGAGTAAAGAAATCAGGTTAAACGCAATGTTACATTGTAAAACACATATAAAATGGGAAATCCTAATAAAAAATTGGCCACGGAGTAAAACTACAGCAACAAAACATTTAGACAATACTAAAAGATCTGGTCTGATAAAAAATATTTTTGAAATTCTCTCTCTGTCACCAAATAGACTTTAATATTCCACTTGTCTTTTGTCCAAGTTGTGTTAACTTCATTTGAATTAATTGGCTGGAGAAGAACAGATCAATACACTTAGGATTTGTTTTCTTTAATCCCCTCTCTTGAAAGTCTTGCTATTGTTCATCTAACCCACAACAAAAGAAAGTTACCTCTTAGGTGCTATGGTTATTCAGTAAAATTGTCCATAGACATAAAATGACAATTGTCTGTTCCAGCTGTTTTATCTGGAATGTCATGTCGGTGGGACTGACAGACACTCTGGCTCAAAAATTAATGTAAACTGTATAGGTTAGAAAATGTTTGTTCACTAATGTTCCACCCATTTCCTCTCCTGGGGTAAGCAGGTTTCCCTACATCACTGTCTCCTTGTTTATTCTGCACAGGAATGAACATAAAGAGTTGGACAAACATTCCTCCAATGCCTATGGGCACTGTAACATGCTAATCGGATAAGACTTATAATACTCATGCCAAGGCTTAATAATTGTCAAATGATTGGCTAGTGATTTAGGGAAGATGAGGCAATGGTGCAATTATTCTTCCATGGAGAATTAATTATCATGCACTTTTAATTGAATTAATACGTCAGATGAAAAAACTGTAGATTTTGATCTTTTAGATAGAAGGCCCAGAAAACATTAAGCATAGGCAATGCCACAGGTGGTAACCCTTACTGAGTTAATGTAACAAAGTGCCAAAACGAAAGGCATGTACAAATATAAGACAGAGTCTTATTTTCGGAGAACACACGGTATGTAATCTATAAAAATTTTAGTCATAAAACTGGCAGAGACTATGAAGGTCGGCAGACAAAATGAGAAGTAGAATACAGAAGATGATCATAACCAGCACAACAGAAGTTGCAGAACAACATAACTTATATTTTGAGCCCAACAATGTCATAAGTATTCTTGCTGCAATGTCTCTTAAAACTGCCAAGCGGCACGGGTGTTTGCAGCAGTATCAGCTATAGTTACAAATCACCAGTCATGGGGCCATATCATGGCAGCAGACGTGGAGGATAGTTATTTGCATACTAGAGTTGAGCAGAATTCAGCAGATCCTTGCAATTTCACATCAGACAGGCCCTCCCCCTGACTTTATTGTGAAAAGAAGGAAAATCACCAAAACAGCATGACATTTGGAGGAGGGACGCCAATGCCCAAAAGTAACTTCTTTAAGTGGAGGTTGATTTTAGGAAGAGTGGACCTTGGATAAGAGACTACTTGAGAAGTAGGTACCAAAATACCTTAATGCATTATTAGATGATGATATTCCATGTTCTTGTTTTGAGTGGGAAATCAAAAGGTTGCATTGTAAGATGATTTCTTTAATGCTTGTATGGTAAGAGGATTATGAATCAATGCTAGAAACAACTTTGGAATTTAAAGTGAACCTATCATTAATATTTGAACTTCAAACAATCCAAATAGCATATGTCAACATAAACTAATTACATTTTTATTTATTTCTTGACATGAATAAACAATGCTGCTCCTGAGCTCCCATATGTGAATTAAGGTAAGGAGAAAGATCTCAAAACTATTGCGAAGAACCACATTTTTTTTTGCAAAAACTGGAGCATCTAGACCAGCGGTTCTCAACCTGTGTAACCTCAGGACCCACATTAGTCCTTGGTCATTAAGTCGCGACCCAAGTCGCACTGCAATGGAATGCATGGCATTAAGGTACAGCGTGTTCCAGTGCGGGCGTACGACCTGTGGGTGGGAGGTGCGTTTGGGGTACCATTTGAATGGCAACACACCTCCCACACCAGAATGCACAGTAGGTGTGATTGCGTGGTACAGTGCATTAATCGCACAACACTACATATTTACGCACTGTGCTTGTGTGAATGGGCCCTCAAAAACACTGACAGACATACACAATCTCACACACTCACAGACAGACATTCTCACACACACAGGTCTACTCCCTACCTTACGAGAACTGGTACGGATCCTCAGCCTGGGGTCCAGTGAGGGCTGCTGTGTTGTGACGGAGCTCCATCCATATGTGCACTGCTTGTACACCTCCCTTTTGCAGGCTGTAGAGGTGGAGGGAGCCGGAATGTGATGTTAATCAGGTCCAGTCACCTCTATAGGACACGTGAGGGAGCTGTAAGCAATGCATTTATGGATGGAGCTCCCTCGCGACCATATCCCCATCCCATCCCACACTCGGCACCGAGCAGCATATTTTGAACTGCTGCTTGGTGCAAGAACTGATAGTGCTAAAGTTGAAGGCATGCGGCGACCCACTGAACACAGGGTCGCGACCCACTTTTGGGTCACGACCTACCAGTTGAGAACTAAGGATCTAGAGGATACCCACACACATATGGAAAAAATCCCCTGCAAACACATAGGGAAGTAAGATTGCCAGCAGGGAGCTTAGGTCCTTACTTCTCAAAACTGGGCCGCCTCTAGCAGATGAGGGTTTGGCCACCAGCAGAAGCCACCCCTAGGCTGTGCTTTTGTTTTTTGTCCCTAGGCCTACTCCAGAAGGTGTATGATTCAATAAACGGAAGAGTAAACTTCAAACAAAGTGCGAATTAAAGCCAGAAATCACAAGCTGCAAGACAGTACTAACCACTGAGCCACCCACAAGCACCTCACAAACTTTTGTGGTATTGGGCAAAAAAAAAAAAAAAGACCGATGGTTTACCTTAATATATAAAATTGTCATGGAAAACAATAACTTGTTCCTTCTTAAAGCAAAAATAAGGTGATAATATTTTAAAAAAGGGGGTGGGCTGGAGGTTTTAGCCATAATGTGCTAGCATATTAGCACGTTATGGCCAAACTAATACGTACCTGCCAAACTAATCCCCTCTAGTACTGTACTTCTCCCTTGAACGCTTGATTGGCCAGGCCCTGATGACGTAACTCCCTAGCATGCGCACAGGAGTTACTTTACCTCAAGTCTGTACACTGAGCTGGGCATTTGTGGCTCAGAGAAGAGCAAACAGCTTTTATGGCAGAAGAGACATATACAGTCTCTTCTGTCATAGAAAGTCCACTGATTGGCAATTTTTTTTTAACAACTTTACTTCCGCTTTAATGGCCATTTTTATGCTTATGCTCACATAAATGAATATATTGTTAATTTAAAGAAGAAAAGAAGACTCAGGCGTTTGTTCAATTACTGTGCGTTTGAAATCAGAAAGGCATACTATTAGCAGCTAAAGCAATTAGCAACAGTGCATTTATTAGAAAGATTCCAAACAGAAGGTGCTAATTATACCCTCGCATTCATCTCCTCCTTGATATCCCCATCCCTGTGTTTTTACAAACAATACACATAATGGTAAATAAACACCAGCTGGCTCTCATGACGTGGCTATAGACACACATGTGAAAACAGATGTGAAAATTCTGCCAACTTGGTCATCCGCAGCTCAACAATGCACAATAATGGCCAGTCAACTTTAAATAATAATTTTTAAAAATCAGCACTTTCGGTCATTGGAATTGGAACCCATTGTACAACACCTTGAGTAAAACAAAGTGGAGCATTATAGGAATCAATAAAGTGTATCTAAACCCAAACGCTCAAACCAAATGTTCCTCTAATTTTTTATGTTTTTATATGTCCTGCTTCCAATGAAATCACACCAGCAAGGTGTATCCAGAGACACTTCCGTTCCTAAAGTGACAAAACTTAGTTTGGTTGCTGCATTGTCAACCTTCCCTGTTCACTCTGAATATGGACTATAAGCAGCCGTCCCAGCACATCGAGCATTGGCACATTTTTCTATAGCCAATGCAGTAACACTGACATTCAGCTTCTGCTAGAAACTACACACATTCACTGGTAGTCCCCACAAAGAACCAACAGGATATGCAGAATGGAGAGAAAAACCATGAACAAGGTAAGGGCCAGTGTCCGACGGGCTTTAGGCCTGTATATATGGGCAAATGGAAGGTGCTTTTGTTAAGATCAGTTTGAGATATGTCTGGGATTGTTCAGAATGCATTGAGAGGTGCATTTAACCTGCAGTTGACCTCTATGGGAATTTACATTCCCATAGACATGTATGGGGAGAGAAGCAGACCTTATGCAAAGAAAAGCTGTCATCAATGGCCCTAAGAAGAAAACTTTTCACAATAACAACATAGTCCTATTTTACTTACAGACCTCTACTAAACTAGGAAATCTTTCGTAAAAGTTTAGTTCTACTTTAAGATGCCAACGCTTATTCTTTTAACACACATTAAAAGATGAAAGTTGACATTTAACCAGTTTGCATGTACAACACATTCCACCAGTTTTATATGCGTAATCCATAGTTATCACAAACGGGGTTATGCTACGTGAGCACTGATATATATTTTTAACCTACTCTCTGGTATTTATGAAAGGACAAAAAAGGAGACACACACACTCACGTAAAAATCAGTGCAGCACACTTAGAAATATAAAAGAGACAGGACAAAGAAGGACATGCTAGAGCTATAAAACAAAAATCGATGCATATGCAAGTATCTGTCTTTTTTCTCTTTACCCATCAAAACAGGAAGAGGAGGTAGATGTAGAAATATTAATGAGCACAAGTACTTCAGTAGAATTTTGCAAAGTATTTTAAAAGACACAAGGGAATACAAAACAGTCAGATATTATTCCTAAATTGCTCTAGCACTGAAATGTTTCTTTCAGCGAATGACACTAGATGACAACCTGAATTTAAACTGTACCTACACTAAAACAAGATCTCCAATCAAACTATTTTATAAGAGCAAAGCTCTGCAAAATATTTGCACTTCTGAGGGGTGCCTTCTGTTATCTTTCTGGTCTCCTCTGGCTATGTCCTTGGTTCCTATGTTGTATCAGGTGGGGGCCTCTCTTCTTCAAGGAAAGCAGTCTGATTCCAAGCTGCATATACCCAAAGAATGTAGACCATGCAAAAAAGCACAGCAATTTAGTCTAGCATCCTCTATAGATATGTTTGTTCAGAAATGCATACATTCAATACAAGTGTAATTTGTATCTTATATGGTATACAGCATGTACCTTTGATGTGTAACTTAGGGTGCTGATGTACACACAAATGCTTTCAAGGTGCTTGACTGGAGCACTTCCTTCATCAACAGGGCAAGGATTTGACCTGTAGGGCTTTCCTAGATTTCAGTAAGAACTGCTTCTATTCATGGGAAGTTCTAATTAAAAGCACAAAAAGATTTTCCACCAAATGCAAGCAGCTATCAATTGTATGGGGGAAAACAGAATTGCTCTGTAACATAAGCCAAATCAGGGAGGATATTGCTGCTTTTCTTGGCATGCAAGCAATTACATTAAGGATAGGTAGAAGCAGGGCCGTCCCTATAATAAGCCAGCCTGAGGTTGCCTCAGGTGGCATCTTATAAGGGGGCACCAGGTGTGTGTGAGAGGGGGCGTAGAGGGGTGGCCACAGCATCTCAGGCTGTTAAGAGCAACACTCTGTCTGCTCTGTCTAGCTTCCCGCCCAGCTCACAGATGTCATCAGTTGCCAGGGAGCAATGTGGGACGCTCTAGCTAACGCCACAAAGAGCTCCTGGCAACCAATGATGTCAGTGAGCTGGGCGGGAATGGACAAAGCCACTTTCTGTCTAGGAACAAGGCCCCCTTCTCCCGGAAAGACCTGAAGCGGCATACAGGGTAGGGACAGCCCTGGGTAGAAGTCTGAACAACCTTCATTTATGGCCACCTTGGAACATTCATAAAAATAGGAACAAGAATGTTCTGCAAAAATGGAGACCATGCTCATAGTGATCAATAAGATCCTTTGTTTCATTTTCTCAAATAATAAAAGATGGAATGTATTTGGTTACTATGACTTAGGTCATAGAGAACTATTTCTCCAGTGCTAAATAGACCCTCCTTATAGTGGGATTCTAGATACAAAAAGGGATTTTCTTTTTAATCTGAATATGTATAGACAATCCTTGTATCTGTATAATATTGCTGAACATTCATCTTCCTGCAACAATGCAGATCAAACAGCTTTACACGTAAATAATTTTAAAATGACAGTACCATAGTATTTGGAAAGAACCAAAACACAGACAATTCTACTGTTCAAATATATAAAACTTCAGTGATTGGATATATAAACTTTAGGGCCTGTCTACCAAGAAGGTAAAAAGAAGAATCTAGAGAAGGTAAATGTAGACGGCTGTCATGGAGGTTGATAAACAGAAACGCAACACTGCAGGGAATAAATCACAAGGGACTGCTTAAAGACACAAACTCAATGATGTATTATTACCTCAGGGCTTATGAAACTCTATAAAGTACCGGTAATACTAGCACAAGAAAAATGCATGCTAATATAATGTGTCACAGATATAGCAGCTACACACTAATATTCTTATTAGTGTGCAAATATGTAGATCAAGGATCAGAATTTGTGAATATAATGGTAATCTGTTTAGCAAAAAAAAAAAAAAACAGCCTTCAAAATTATATTACATTATATATGTCGTTGGTGTTCTAGCCAAACACTACACTTTCCATTTAAAGGGAAAATCCACCTTTTAGAAAAAAACTAATAAATGCGCACTTCATGAAAGAAAAAAAATATGCTTTTAGTATTTCTTTTGCATTGCAGCCAGTAAAGCATTGCAGCCACGATCAGTGAATCATGGGTGCAATACTTTGGCTCCTGCAGACTTTTCCTCCCGTCCAAGGAAGAGTCCGAGGTAGAGACATTCAGTAACATGGGGGGTGTGGGATTAGAATGAATGGACTACAAGTATGGTGACATCACTACATTAGATTAGGGGATTAGGATGAATGGACTACAACTATGGTGACATCACTACACTTGTATTCCATTAAGAACTAAAAGTCCCTCTGCTGCAATAGCTGATCGGACTTGTACTTTCTCCATTCATAGATTCTGTCAAAGGATTTGTCAATGGATGAAGCTGCTATGTAGGCAATGCCACCTACAGCTGCACCAAATTAAAAAATGAACACAAGCCTGCGAGGAGAAGAATCTGAATATGGGTGTAACATAAAACATGGTCGGAAAAGTAAACTTAGCTTTTTAATGCAAATAGAAAATCACAGATTTTGATAAGAAAAGGACGTGCTTGCCTGGTCTGCCTGGAGTTCAAATGCACCTTAATAGACTATGCCGTGCCTTAAGAAAAGCAGCACCAAACAAAGCAGGTTTAATGCAGTCTCTATTGTGCAATATAAATCAATGGGATTTTATAGACCTGCATTTGACATGCGCTCCAAATACACATCAAATGCAGGAAAACCGCCCCTGTCGACATAAACCCAATAATGTTTTGAAAGACCAGTACACAGAAAATAAAAGTCGTTTTGTGTAACATAACATCAGAAAATTATTAAGAGATACGATATTTGAGATAAATGACAGCCATCACTTGCAAGCCTCCTTATGTTAAAAATGAATACAGAGACAGAAAAGTGAAAAAAAATACTTAAAGAAATCCGGGTAAAAATCTTATTAACCCCTGGCAGTGGGGCTACCCCTGCAGTGTAAGGGTTAAGTGCTTATTTTTGCCTAGGTTCAAAAATAAAAAAAGTTATACTCACCCAATGCTCTTAAAACGGTCCCTGCGGCAGTCCAAGGTCCCCGAGTCATCACGTCCAATACATACAATCCGAGGATCTGGCGAGCATATCTTTTTTAAACAAGCAGTTAACACTTGCAGTGCGGGGGTAGCCCCCACTGCAAGGGTTAATAACATTTTTACCCATAGTTCTTCTTTAAAATATCTCGGTTTACGAACAGGTATGGGTAGTTTTGCGCAAATATAAAAAAAAGTTATTATTAGTTCTTTAACATAATGTGCCAAATTGACTTTCCATTTATATGGGTATGTATGGGTATTTCACCTGTCCAAGCTCTTCGTTCAGATCTGAGGTGTTCACCAGAGGACCTTCTCCAGTTGTCTCATCAAACATCTCCTCATCCCATGTGAGGAAGTAGGAGCCCAGGAATTTCTGCATTTCCACTGTGACGTACATAGAGACAGGAATAATGTAGTTGAAAAGGACCATAAAAGCCAGAAAGTCTGTGAATGCTCTGATTACCTGCCACGACACAAAACACACAAAAAAAAAGTATAATCATTTTCCTGCACATGCAACTAGAGACACGAAAGCAATCGCAGAGATCCCATGAAAACAAAGGATAAAAAAAGCAACCAAGACAACACAAGCAGCATAAGCAACAGAGAGGGAAATGCAAGTAGTGGAGAAGGGGACACAAGCAGTACTGAAGTGGACATAAGCAAAATGAATGTGATGTCTCCTTACCAAATGTCTTTGTCTTTCAGAGTCTGTTTTTTGGTTGTACCAAGGCTCATCACGGGAAGCCTCACTCTGCCATACATATTTTAGCACAGTATTTATTAAGGCTTTACTGATGAGAATACACAGGTAGACTATAAGGTAGCCATTCATTGACCTAGAAGAAAAACATCAAGTAAACTGTGAGCTGCATGCAGCTCCTTATTATACAGACAATACATCAGTGTGTGTATATGTTTGAGCGGGAGACGAGCTAAAGCACGTCTTACCGCTCCATGCGCCTGGCCACGCCCCCCTGTATATGTTATTTTTAGTTATTAATATCAGAAACCGCGTGACAGCTTAGCAAGGATATTCTTAGCCATACTAGTATTATGTAAAGGGATTGAACATATTGTGTGGCTCAATGGAAAGCACAGGACTTATAAAGGCAGCACTGAGGATGGCTCCAATAGCGTATCCCAACATATTTTGGTCCGTTATAAACAACTGTATCCTGTATAGCTATAATAATATTAAGCAAGTGGTTGGTTGCATGCACAAGTGCCACAATACTAACCCCACCAAAAATTCAAAGAATTTCCTAAATAATACGGTTCATCTCTTTTACGAGTACATTATTTCATTTTAAAACACAAGTAAGCCTTCACTAGTAGAACATTGAAGGATTCCCCCTTGTATACTCCCCATATTGCTGCTGTCCAAGGCTGTAATATCAAATAGTATACATATGGACACATGTACACCCAGAAAGAAGAAAATCAATATAACATACATCTATTAGTGCAGTGGAGGGAGCAGGTATTTGACACACTCAAAAGTAGGAAATACCTGCAGCGGCAGGGGATCAGCAAAGTGGCGGTTTGAAGACACCAGCCGCTGGAAAGGTAACTATAGATTTTCTTCTCTTACAAGGTGTGCTTATGTTACAAGTGACCTTTTGGTGGCACAGTCACTTCAATCCATGTACTGAAAGTTTCTTCTGAGCTATGTCTTTATTTGGGTGCACTGTCTAAGATTGAAGTGGGTTATCTTCTGCAACATTACTAAATTGTTACATGTGACAACAGACATAAATTATGCAGTAGAACACTTTACTTTTCAACAGCAGATCTTTTCTGTGATTTGGACTGGTAATTTAATGCCATCTTGGTTTCCATTCCAGTGTATATAGCAACACCTAGAATTAGATAAGAAGAGTAAGAGGAGATTGTTACTTGAGACCAGTGAACAGAAAAATCTACTGAACTCAATCCATGAAGGACAGACCCTCATCTCAGAATGATTTAAAGCTATGCAAAACTACACATTCACATGGCAATCCACTGCTGCTCTCTGTTGATCTGGGAAGCCTAAATTGGCTTAGATAAACAAAGAAACAAACTTACAATATATTAAACTGTTTGTCAGCAAAAATAATGGAAATTGCAAAAGGAAATTGAAACTTCTAGCTGCTTGAGAACACAATGTACCAGCATGCCATGGCAGTCAGTAAAACGGATAATAATGTCACTTTTTAGGTGAAGTTGAAAGCTCTTGCTCCTCCAATCTATAGCTTCCCATAGAGGGTAGTGTTAATTAAACCAATCACATTATTTATCCTTTTTGTAATGTTTACATTGCATGCAGTTATCTCTACAGGTATGTACAGGTTCATATAAAAAGTAAGACCCCCTGTTCAGTTTTAAACTGTAGAGGCATATGAAGCATATGAACACAACATCCCTCGTTATTCAGCACTCCCATCATTTCTAAAGACAATCAATACCTCATGTCCAGAAGACACTTTCATTCAAAAGCAGGGTGCTGAGAGATGAAAAGCAAAGGAACCTAGAGGTGTCTGCACTTTATATATGCCAGCAGCCTTGATTTAAAGTGACAGAGACAATATGGTCAGACTACAAGCAATTATTTTTAGGAGGAGGGATGACAGACTATTATTTACAAAGGTAAAAAATAGTGAATTAACATTTTGCTCCATACCGAGTACCGATTTATTTTTCTATCACGTTATGGCAAGCAGCAGGTTTCTGAACGTAAAAAGTAACATTAAGCTGGTTATGGGCAAAGGGCAACATTATTTTTTTCCCTAATGTGGCTGTTTGATAACAAGCAGTGCAATGATTTACAAGGTAAACAAGGTTAAATAAGAGCAAAACACTTTTGATAATAGCTGGTAAACTTTTATAAATGACGTCTAAGCAAATGAGATCTAATCAAATGAGGTCTAAACAAAGGACAATTATGGAGAAAAAGGAAAGGCCATTTCTCAGGCCCATCTGTATGCAGCGGGGATCCGATAAGAAGTGAGGGAACCGCTGGGGGGATGGGGGTGGAGGACGGAGCTGCTGTCACAGAACTAAGGCCGAGCGGTGAGGACAGAGACGCTCGGCCAGGTTCGCCTCTCGGGCACCTCTCTCCCCCCTCACCGCTCGGTCTTAGTTCTGTGACAGCGGCTCTGTCCGCAGCTCCAGTGCTTCTTTCACTTCTCTTCGGATCCCCCGCTGACTCTGCCCGGGAGAACAGGGGGGATCCACAGGAGAAGCTCAGCCCCCATGTGCGTGGCCGAGCGGCAGAGGATCGGTACATATCAGGGATATGTACCAATCCACTGTGCAGGACAAACACTGGAGCGATCAGCTGATCCCTCCAGTGTTTGTAAATAACTGGGGACACATAGTAGTATGTGTCCCCAGTTATGAATGAACAGGATGTGATTTACATCACATCCTGTTCATTCATGAGATTCTCAATGGGGAAGAAGCACTCTGTACAGAGACTCCTCCCCATTCAGAAACTGGATGATAGTAAAATATTTTCTGAATGAATGGGAAGCCTCTGTGCTTTCCATTCATTTAGAACAGAGGCTGCAGAAAAAGAGATTGAGGAGAGATCCATACAGAGTACCGATTCTGTATGAATGGGCTGCAGATTCCATACAGAGTACCGATTCTGTGTGAATTCAGCAGTTTGTGAATGAATGGTAAGCCTCTGTACTGAGTGCTTCCCATTCACTGAGTGCTGAGGCTGCAGAAAATGACAATGTATTTTTCCATTTCAAAAGGGAAATGTCAGGGGTCTGTTTAGACCCCTAATATTTCCCCAAAGCCCCCCCAAAAGTAAAAAAATTATAATAAAAAAATTAAATAGAATTAAAAAGAAATAACAAAAAATAGTAAAAAATTAAAAAAAATCCTGGAGGCAGGGCACTGGGTGACATCACACGCCTGTTGGGGGGCATTGTTTTTTCCTTGCCTCGGGCGCAAAAGGAGCTGGCTACGGCTATGCTCCCGCGGTGCTTGTGCAGCTGCCGGCTGAATGTGTCAGACGCTGCAGATGGAAAGGGGCAGGACACCTCTCCCCATGTGCAACGTCGGCCACACGAGCAGCACGGGAGGACAGGACGCCAGGGCCTCTAGAACGCACTGGAATGTAAGCCGGCCGACTCACTGCATTCAGGGGCGGGAGGGGGTGTGGGGTTGTATTGAAGTCAATGGCACCACAACCATGCCCCCCGCCCACAGTGTGATCGCCCGCACCCTGAACACAGGCACATTAGTGCCTGCGTTCCGGTCCAGTGTGGTCTGCAAAAATAGTTCTCGCAGCATTTTTGCGGTTTGCACTGGACTGGAACGCAGGCACTAATGTGCTTGGGTTCCGGGTGCAGGCGATCGCACTGTGGGCGAGGGGCCTGCCTGCGTTGCCTGGCTGCGGTGCCATTGACTTCAATGCCCCGCCACGCCCCCTCCCCTAAATGCAGGTGTTTTTTCATTGGTAGATCTCATTGAGCTCGTCATTTGAAAAGTAGATCTCCAGACGAAAAATTGTGGTTGCCCCTGTGTAAGCTATAGTTTACCATGGGATCCTGAACCACATTAACAATTTCCCAAATGTTCTATTCTACTTACCAAACACCCTTTCTGTGTTTTTCAGTGTGGCCCCACGAAGCAGCAGGTTCTCCGACCCTAGAGGCCTATAAATTAATGAATCACATAAAGCAAGAGTAAATTAAAGAAATGAAATACCTTCTAGAACTGTAGAAAATTGTTATAGAAATATTGATGCACTAACCTGGCAGTAGTGTCTTCTGTTCCACTATAAACATTTATCCGGCCAACAAACCTGCACAAAAAAAAGTGCCAGAAAAAAAACAAATTTACAATTGCATACAATAATTTGAATGTTGTAACAACAATCATAAAATTAGTAGTACGATAAATCATATCCCTGATGATCTAATGTATGAAAAAAGTATTCAACAAACAGTAGCCAATAAGATTGAAGCACTGATTTAATTACGGAGCTTGGAAAATTAAATACGTTTAAAGTGATTATTTATTCGAAACGGGACTAAAACGGAACTAAATGGGAGTAAAAGCATTATAAAACAAGCGGTAGTTGTAGGCATTGTGGAGAAATTCAACAACAGAGGCACCACCAAAATTACAGCTATTTTCTATAAAAGCAGATTTTTGACGAATTTGAGAATAATTAACTTCACACTACAAGCAGCTCTAGAGGTGAGTGAGGGTTGTTTTAAAGCTCTTTTGCTATTTGTAAAATATATGAGAATTCTTTAAAGCAGAACTTAGTGGAAATTTTTTATTAACCCTTGCAGTGGGGCTACTTCCGCACAGCAAGGGTTAACTGCTCACTTTGATTTAGGGAGGAAAATAGCAAAGCTGTTACAGCGCTCCCTCCAGCACCCTTATGTTCCATACAGGGGGTATAGAGGGTGATGATTTACAGGACCTTAGACTGCTGCAGTGGAGGGAGAGAGCGGCTCCAGGGACCAGTCTAAGAGCCAGCCGTCTCAAAAGATCAGGTGAATATAGCTTTGCTATTTTCCTTCCTAGAACAAGCATTTAACCCTTGCAGTACGGGGGTAGCTGCACTGCAAGGGATAATTATACATTTTATCCAGAGTCCTTCTTTAATGTCACAATGTAGGGACAGGTGCACTTTAGGTGCAACTCCAGCCAAATGTTTCTTTTTAACTTAGAATGGAATGGGGAAGGAGGTGAAGTTTTTATTGCTGGTTGTGCCCACCCAGTAGGGAGATTTGCCTTCACTTCCTGTTCCCAGAAACAAATCAGGAAGTGAAAACCTCCCCATAATATAGGCAAATTATGGTTGTCAATGGAATGGGTGTATACATTATATTGGAAGATTTCCAGTCTGACCCAGTTGTGGTGACAACTACATAATGTTAAACTCTCCATTACTTTCTGTCCAAGACTATGTTCAACAAGACAAATAGAAGGGTGAATCTCTCCATCATGAACAAAGACCGCAGAAAATCTCAATTCTATCCAAAACTAAATTAAAACTAAAGTTTGGGCTGAAGTTATACTTCGAGAACAACAATAACCGATACCTTCCTTTGACGTACTTCTATACATAAAATCCTACAGCTACATTGTTTCAGTATGGTCTGAAACATCTGTGATGTGGATGAATGGCCTTGTCTCCCTTCGAAATGAATATTCTTACTTGTAAAGATCAGGCTGAGGTTGTTCACATTCAATGGTAGCATGCAGAGTGTCCATATCTTGCTCATGATGAAACGCTTTTGTGTCTTGAACAGAAAAATATGTCTAGTGTAGGGAATAGAAATGTACATTTTAGACTTATTTTATTTTCCTGTAAATAAGTATTTAATAGTGAACTGAAAATAATAATTTTCAGTCTTTGTTGCAAAATACATATTTAAGTTGTTTAGCCACATTACATGAAAGAACTCCACAACAATTCACCATTGTCCTAGTGGTAGTATAGTATTGTGTACATGTACAGGTGTAAAGCTGGCTATATGATTTGACCAAATGAAATTCGTGGATGGCCCTACCAGAACAACCCGGCTGCAGATTTCTTATTGACTTGTCAAAGGAGCTAGGTGAAAAATTGTCAGCTGAACAGTGACTGCAGCCAATAAGATGCAGTCACTGTTCGGGTATTACAATAGCCGGCAGGGAAATACTGACTGATCTGATGTCACATGAGCTTTGTGCTTTATATTGCTCTTTTGTTCTGCTATTTTCATCGTATTGAGTGTGAAAAAGACTTATATAACAGTTTTCGTATAGTATATTCATTTAAAGTAGAAATTTTTTTTTTTCAAGTCTTGGAGTTTGAGTGGGATAGAACTATTGTCAGTTTTTTTTTTAATTCACACTATGTCCAGTTATTAACATTTAGCGATCCGTTCTCCATCCTGAATCAGCTGTCGCAGGCAGAGCACGGCGGTGCGGGAGGAGAGCTCCACCTCCTGTGACATCACAGAGCTCTCCTTTAAAAAACGCTCTCCATCCTGACACAGGGGGCCTAGCCGGGAGGTGCGGGAGGAGAGCTCGGACTCCTGCAACGCTGACAGCGCTCTCCTCCCCCACCGCTTGGCATCCTGAAACCTTCTCCCCTCACCGCTGGGTGCTGGCTGCTGCATCGGAAGGCACACAAACTGGCGCCCAGCGGGAGGGGAGAAGCTAGGATGCACTGAATTTTCCAAAAGTGCAATTTTCGGACAAAATTTCAGTGCATCCCTAACAATAAACATCACCTAAAAAAATTGACATTTGAACTCACTTTGTGGCTGGATTCTCCATCCAAACTTGCTGTTGTAACAAAACAGGTCCCATCCTCTCTACTGGAGGAAAGCAAGATCATATCACATGGAAAAACTTCATCTTCTTTTACCATTACAATGTCTCCAACCTTGAGAGTAAAGTAACACATAAGACTAAAACATACCATGAAACATTAAACGTTAATGACAGCACTTTACTGTGATTGCAAAGGGCATTTAAACCACAAGACACTTCTGTTCTTACAAATAAGGGTCATAGTTAAAGTGAAGCCTTCAAATCTGTGACTATTCATTTTTTTGGTAGAGATAAACTGCTTTTGCAAAATGAATTTTTTTCTGGGCTGTTTTTTGTTTTTTTTGCTTTGAATTTTGAAACCCCTGTTTTATTTCTAAACAGTTCATCTTTAGGGCAGACATATTATACATGGTAAATACAAGGTCAAAATCACGTATAAAACTATTTAAAGCAGAATTCCAGACACAGATTTTTCTAAATCCTGATGGGTAAAGAAATGTTAGATCTTCTGAGTTGTAAAGACTTAGCAACAATTCTACATCAATTCTGTATAATTTCAGATGTGGTACTTTTACCCAATTAACATTATATATCTCCTGAGTTGTGAAGACAACAATACTATATAATTGGGGTGGAGGAGCTTTATTCTACCAATTAACAGTTACAGCATTATACTGTATATCTCTTGAATGTGTATTAAATGGTCTCATCTCTTCATAAAAACGTTTGTTTCTGCTAGATAAGTACATTGACAGGTGTACTTCCGGCCCACTATGGATTTGAGAGCTGCGGGTCTCACAGACAAACAAAAAGATTTTTGTTCAGCGCTCTCAAGCGGAGAAGGGTGGTGTGGATGGTGTAGGTTAAATCAATTGGTTGGTGTGCTGCTCTGAAGAACCAGGCGGAGGATACCTCTGCAACAAACTAAAAGCAATACCAGCAAGAGCGAATTCGCTTAACCAATTGGGTGTAAAATTGTATTTTAAGAAGAATTACTTACATGATGTTGGTGGGGACTGGGTGTCATCCAGCCTAGGAGGAGGACCGGCAGTGTCCAGTTTCTGCTATAATGTTGCGCTTGCTGCGCCTGAAGTGCTGTCTGTGACGGTCTCTGTGTCCACTCCCGATGTTATATGGGGTACAGAGGGAATCGTGTGTCTGAGGATTGTTGTAGGTCTCAGTTATTATATCCCGTAACTGAAACCTACAACAATCCTCAGGCACACGATTCCCTCTGTACCCCATATAACATCGGGAGTGGGCACAGAGACCGTCACAGACGGCACTTCAGACGCAGCAAGCGCAACATCATAGCAGAAACTGGACACCACTGATCCTCCTCCTAGGCTGCATGACACCCAGTCCCCACCAACATCATGTAAGTAATTCTTCTTAAAATACAATTTTACACCCAATTGGTTAAGCGAATGTGCTTTGCTTGTATTGCTTTGGGTCTCACAGACAGAAGTGTTAGCGATGTTTACCACTACTCTCTCCTCTGGCCATTCAAAGAACGCTGTGTTTACATAGTACATGGTGTTCTGTGAATTGTTAAGGGGGGCAGTAAAATGATGCTAGCTGTCACACACGAGATACCATCTTTATCATACAGACCTGTGGTGCTTGTTGCAACCAAGCGTATAATATAATGAAACATGTACTCTGTATATTGCACTTGAACTCACTCTTAGTTTCTGGCTTTGTTTTCGGACGAGTTTGCCGTGCTGGATGACATGGACAGAATATTGGTTCATTGCATTGTCAGCTTTGTGCCTTAACCAATCCTCATAGCCCTACAAAGAAATTATAAATAATGCATTTGTTTCAAGGTAAAAGCTGACATATCAGTTCCATAAACTCATACTATTAAATTGGAGACAAAACTGAAATAAAATGTGATACATATTAGTTACCTGTTTAATTGCAGTCACAGTGATGACAAAGAAAAGTGGTAGACCACTGGTTATCGGACTAGTTGGGGTGTCAATGATAAGCTGCAAAGCACAACAACATACAATTAAAAATCATGGAGACAGCTAAAATATCAACGATATTTATTATCATAATAATATGAATGATATATTATAAAGCTAGAATGAAGAAAAATGCTAAATATACAAAGACAAAAGACCGAGGCACACAGGACAAATCACACAAAAAAGTAGCTACTTAGATTGATTTATAACTATTAGGGGATAAGGGCACATTTGTTGGGCAATTCACTGAACACTTTTTTAAACTTTCCCAGAATATGATTCAGCAGGATTGAGTGCTGGGGAATTTTTGTGTTTACAATTTCTATTAACTTTTGTACAAAGTCTATACTCTGTTTAGGTCTCCACACAGTAGCGAACTCTGCTGCACTGCTGTTACCTGTGGTGCTACCCAGTGCACTGCGAAAAATTCAGCATGTCTGCATTTTACTATACTTTTTATTTAACTTGTTTCCCTGCTGTCTTTTTTTTCCTGTGAAAAAATCCATAAAAACACTGGAGCTAATGGGGACATTTTTGACATAAATAGTTGAAAGGAACTTCCTTTCACAATTGTTGAAAGGAACTTACCTAACACTAAGGAGCCATTTTAAGCCCATTACACCTTTGCAAACCACCTCAATTTTACCTTCTCCATAGACTGTACTTGTCCATAGTCTATACTATGTGGCAAGAGTGTTTGCATCCCAAACGTTGGGGGGAGAGGCAAAGCCTGCCTATCCCCCCAACTTTAAACAATCTCTAATGCACACTGCAAGCAAGGGGAGCCCCTGCACACTTTTAATACATTCAGGTCCATTCATATTGTTAGATCTACCTTCATCAGTGGCTACATAGATTTACAAATCCTTTGATGGGTAAAAAAAAGTTTATAAATGCAAACTGTGTTTTTAACTGGTTGTTTACATATATTTTAATTGTGCATTTAACTGTTTGACTGGAGTGTTGCTGTATAATCTGCTGAAGACTCATCTAGAAATGATTTAAAATTGGAACTTAAAAGAGAACTATGGGGTAACCTTTTTATCCCATAGTTCCCTTTAGGGTCACAGGAGGACATATACTAGCTTCCTCCCATGACCCAAAGCTTGCGAATGAGAGCACTGCAGCTAGGACGGATTCCGACAATGCTGTCAAGATCCACACAGCTGTGTGAGTGGTAGCTGGCTCTGCCTATCTAGAGCCAGCTGTGCCCACCCCCGTTCATTCCTCTGCTCAGCCCTGGAGGATCGGGAAGTGGGGGAATCCTTGTGCGGAGCAATGACTGACAGTCGCTGCTCTCTGCAGGGAGATCATCGAAAAGTGAGCAAGCAAACGTATGCGTTCGCTCATTTCCCGATCTATAGAGCCCACCTGTGACAGTTTCATTGTCACACGACAGTTCGAACTATGAGGTTGTTCACCCACTCACCTCATCGTTCTCCTTTAAGTATATTTAAAGCAAAAACTCTTTTTTTAGTTTTGGATAGAGTGGGGGAGGGTTAGAACCCTTGTCAAGTTCTTATTTCTGTCTGTGTCCACTACTGGGGACATTCAGGCTGACTATTTGTCATTGAGACCTCTGTCAGGGGTACAGAAAATGATGCATTATCAAAAAGTTACCATTTGTCACAGGAATAGAAGATAAGGGGAAATCTTTCAATGGGCACACTTCTTCTGGTGAGAACTAAGGGGGAAATTCTCCTCACTTTGGAGGGATATCCTCCCAATTCCTGCTATGTTTCCAGTGCAAGAAGTAAAAGGGAAATATTTACAATGGGACAGCAACATCAAAAAATAAAATGCAAGGGGTTCCGTCACATCATCAAAGTTTTTGCTTTAGATATACCTTAAGATAGATATGGAAATGATGCAAAGTCTGCCTCTACCCCAACACTCAACACTCTCTAATACACACTGCAAGCATTAAAGGGAGCCTTTGCACATTTTTTATACATTCAGGTTCATTCATATTGTTAGATCTACCTTAATCAGTATTTATCAATGAACAATACTGCACAATACAAATCTTCCCACTCCTCCAGTCATGCAGCGTTCACAACAAGGTGATGCAACCTTGGTTTGAGATTGTGTGCTTATACATTCCTCTACAATATAATGATTTTAAATGAATTCACTTAGTGATGAACTAGTCTGTGAGCTTCAACAAGCTATGATTTATGGTCAAATAGGACAGGATATTAACATGTCATCCTTCAATCAGCAGCATTAATTGCTAGACTAACCACAGGAAGCTGTCTAACCTCATTAATAGAAACCTCTGTTAAGATACCGCACTTAGATGATCCTTTTACAGGATTCACAAGAATCAACTGTAGTCCCGCCATAACAAGCTCCAGGGGATGACCAGAAGCCCACAGTAACATTCATATCTGGTGGTCTATATAGAGTAAGTTCTACTGTCTGTTTTAAGATTACCAGATTTATCTGTACAGTTTTCTCCGAAACCATGCCAAGAGACCCTACAGTCCTACTGTTAGACAACAAACCTCCTGAGATGATATTTTCAGCTCACAGTCTGGTCCAGCAAGGAACAATGGCTACCCACACCAAACGAGTGTCTATGGAAAATAACCACTTGATTGTATGGAACAGTTATTTAAAAAAAAAATCAACTAAATATGCATCTTTGAAAGTAAATTAAGTAAAATCTCCCACTTGTAGTAGTAGTCATGCCTGATAAAATGGAAACTTAAGAGACTGCACCTGCCTTACAGGAATCAATGGACATAAGACATGCACACTGACATCTATAGATTTATCCATAACTCAAGGTCCACAAAGATCAATATATTGCAAAAAACGGGGGAAAAAAAAGAATTTTCCAATTACTACAGAAAAAGCGTTTTAATCCCCTGGCTGTTATTCAGAAATATAGAAGAATGGATTACTTTGAAAAATGCAGTACATAGGCCTTGGAAAACCCAAAATATATCACCCATGCAGGGAAATGTAAACTGTCCCTTTAGCTCCCCCTCTCCCCAGCAGTGTGTACTCACCCTTCCACCATTTTGTTCATTTAACGGGAGTCAAATTAAATACACAGGGGTATGGGAGAACATTAATCTCACTCTGCTTATCAACGATAGCCGCCTCCTGATTTGCCCAGCACTGCCACCTGGGGATTCAGGAGGAGTCCATAGCCCTGTGTAACCCCCGACAAGTTATTTTTTTTATTTCTCCCCTGGTCGCCTGGGGAGTAAATTCTTGTGGAAGCTAAGTGATCCTGCCTAGTATGGACAAAAGAAAAAGATATACAAGATATGTAAATGAATAGACCGTATCTAACATATCTCCAGCAACAGGTTTTATAATTTAAACTAGATGGAAAACCTCCCCTATTAAAATAATTCTATAAACATCATGATCTATGAGAAAATTAATAATATTAGTAAGATATAATGGAGAAGTTGAAAAAAAAAAGGTACCCACAGATACAGATATAATTCATGATTGGAACATTCTACCTTTCAGGCTATTTTTCATATTACATCCATGCTCAGGATATAACATGAAACATGGTCACATAGCAATTCCCAATGACAATTCAAACAAAGACATCTTATTCAGTGAATACCATGCAAAAGTATTCCAAATGGCAGTAACAACAGCCTGTGCATGTCGAGCGTTATATTTTTCTTTTGTACTTACCTGTACAAGGAAAATAATAAGAAAATAAAAATTTGCTATTCTTCTGAACTGTTCAAATAAATTCTTCGGTACAAAGTTCCAAAATGTGTACTGAAAGAAAGAAGTACAAGAAATGTGTTATTTACTTGCAATTTAAAACCCAAGAATTATAAAGCTATACAACACAAATATTTAAATCCAAGTATGTTTAGTGTATATATATATCTATATATATATATATACATATACATACACACACACATATACATACATATAAATTATTAATTTTTTTAGGAAAAAAACAAAATAAAGCAAAGTAAAGGTAGAGCTAATGCCCAGTAAGAGAAAGTTGTGTTTTGGGCAACACCATGATTTTCATATCGTACAATTTGTATTTAAAATATCATTTTAAAATAATCATCTTCTTGGTTTCTGTATGTAAACTGACATTTAACAATCTACTAGCAGTGAGTATTGTTGACAACCAGCTTTGATTAACAGAAATGACCGTAACTAGTAACAATAAGTATAACACATACCGTATATCAATGCATTGTGCGAATGTGACTTAAGTGTAAACAAAACATTCACATTCTTTGTTTCCCAGAAAACCTTTAGAACACTGCCTTTCAAGTATTAGTCATTCACTTGATTATTTGCCAACAAGTAATAACCAGTATACTTAACCATATTTAAACTCAGACATTATTTGTGGTGCAGTTTAAACAGATATACCTAGGAGCAATCTACACTCTAACTTAATATGAATGCTAAGAGGATAATGTAATAATTAGACTTGAAAAATCTATGTTGTGTTGCTAACTTTGCAAAGATAACATGAGCTGTACATAACTGCTACAAAAAAACATCTTTTAGCCTGTTGCTAATAAATGTCACTAGTTAATTTCTATCTACAGCCATTAATCATTTACAACGGCTCAGAAATAACATTTAGATAACATTTAGATATTGCAAGTGCATTGTTGCAAAAGACTACAATTTAATTTAGGACTTCTAAGAATTCTCTTCCCATTGCTCCTTTAATTGTCTCATTTCCTATTTCACAGCACTATATAGAGAGCTTGAGGTCAAATTACTTGCAGTCTGATGTATGAAATATGACATCACTGACATCCCTTCTACATGAATATGTGAGCTAAAGATCCTAATACACTATACCTCCTAAAGTTAACCCTGCTTTGTATAGCTGGATGAGTTCAATAGTAAGTATTACAGCACTAAAGACTTCAATTTGAAAGATCAGCATGAAACAGTACAAAACTTGGTCTGAGCTGGAGATTAGAGACAATTCAGAATTGGAACTCTAAAAGTTTCTAACTCAGATAACCTCCACAGTACTGAACTGGGACTCCCCAACCCCCTTATTGATGGCTGCCCCTGACACTACTCGTATGTTGCCAGTATGATTGCTTATATGGTGGTTTAGTTGGATTAGTTTAACCTTACCAACACCATAGCAGAATATTCTTGGTTTTAAACAGGTTAGAATGGGCTTTTAGTGTGTTCCAGGGCATTTGCATGCGTTTTTGAAGCGTTTGCATGTGTTCCAGAGCAGGTAAAATAGGGCTTGCTGCAGTTTATTTACATGCTCTGGAACTGAACGCTGCGGTGTGAACCAGAGCCCAAAATACCATTGGAATACATTGGACGCAGTTTTGATCTGCTCTGCTCCTGGAGCACGCTTGGTGTGAACAAGGCCTAACAGTTTCTTATTGGCACATAAGAATGCATGTAATTTTTGATGGATTCACCTTGAAAAAGTTTGTGATGCTGCAGACCAAATGTGTTGGTGCTGGGACTGGCCAGTTGTCTGCTTCTCCTGTGTCCCAGCAAACTGGGCTCTTGATGCTACACTGCTTCGATGCTTTTCAGACCTGGAATGTCATGTGACCCACCTAAGTAGCTGATATGGAAGCCTGAAGAGTTACGAGAAGACTTTACTTCATTAATGGGACTGTTACATGGACATGGTAGCGCTTTGTTAGTAGTTGCTATATCCGCTGCTACAGGCTTTAATTGCATGCCTTGCTGCACGTTACAAGAGGGATTGTCTTATTTACCCACATGCATATAAGAAACTGTTGGTTGTGGATTGCTTCAAAAATTGCAGCCAGGGACCTCAGTTGGAACTATGACATGGAGATTAACTGTGAGAACCTTATCTTTATTGGAAGCATTGACCATACAGTGCACTTTATTCCTTGGAGATGGGGAACTATTCATGAGTTGGCTTTGCCAATGCACATTATAGACATCTATATACCGTGTTTCCCCGAAAATAAGACACTGTCTTATATTTTTTTGGGCTAAAAAAAAAAACACACTAGGTCTTATTTTCAGGGTAGGTCTTATTTTTTTTTAAATGTACAAAAATCCAAAGTTAATGCAAATCCATATCCAAATTAAATAATCCAAAATGGCAAAATTAGGAATAGGGTGATCAGGGCAATCAGGGGTGCCTTAGCTTTCCAAGAGCAATTTGGTAACCAATCGCTGGCCAGAATGAGCAAAGCGCACTTTCACTATCGATTTCTCACAGGCGAAGTGCATTTGGCATCACTCCTCCTGTGACAGGAGTCGGTGCTATAGAGGAGGCATCGGCTTATGCGGCTCTGCTCCCTCTGCTGCCGCCTTGCTTCTCCTAGTGCTGACCATTTCCAGGGCCACCACCGGCCCTGGAAATGGTAACAACTAGGTCTTATTTTCGGGGTAGGTCTTATATTTTAGCAATTCCCAAAAATAGTACTAGGTCTTATTTTCGGGGTAGGTCTTATTTTCGGGGGAAACAGGGTAGTATGGGTAAATGTTTCCGGATGTTGGTAAATATGTATGGTTTGGGGTTGCCAGACAAATGTTATCAATTGTTTTTTAGGTATTCACATTGGGAATTTTTTGGATGGGGTTATTCAGTTATGGTATACTATATACTTCTGCACTTTAAGGACATTTTTATGCATTCAACACTCAGCACAGCACCCTCCCCATATTGAGGGCATGTGGCCTGGTATGTTGCGAAGGGGGCTCGTTCCCTCCTCTTTCCTGCTGCCAGGCTGCTGCTTGGATCAAGGGTCTGTTGAAGGATTTTAGGGGCTTTCTTGGGGCATTGCGGTCCCCCCTAAAATTCCTACCAGACCTGAAGGGTATGAATTGGGGAGGGGACTTCACGCTGTTTTTTTATTTTAACGTTTAACAACATAAATTCATTCGAAATGATATTCATAAAAAATTTCAGATGCATCCGAAATTTTTGTTATTAAAAATTCTGATACGTTCGGATTGGTTCTTTTTAAATCGGAATATGCCAAAATTCGTCCTAATTTCGATTTGGAACGAAACGCACACGTCTAGATAAAACAACGTGATTGAACTTGTGCTTAAAGCAATGTAGACATCTAAATACTGGGACAGCCATTGATGTATTTTTATTTGTCTATGGAAAATTATGCTAATTTCCAAGATTACATATTGTCATTGTCAGCAGCTAAGAAACAGGCACACACTGTAATCTGTTGCACCTTTTCCATCTGACCACAGAAAATCTGCAGATAATTGTAAGGTGTATGGCCAGCTTTAGATTTGTTTTTCAACAGTTGCCAGCAAGCCAGTAGTTTTAACCTTTACTTTCTAATTTCTTTGCTTCAGCTCAAACACAAGAGTTTGTTTCTTATAACACATTACTTTGCCTTTTTTGCTATTATGTTTGGAGAGGAGGCTGTACCTGAAATGGTATGTAGAGCTTTGTGAAGATGGCCAGAGACATTAGATGGCAATCCTTGGGTGCACCTGACAATTCTGCCAGCCAAGGCTCATCAGTAGAAGTGGTTCAGTCACTATTATTTTTTCTCTCTCATAAAACTGCAATGGGCAGTGTATAAAGTAAGCCTACTCCATCCTGCTTCATAGGGCTAAACCCCAACAATGCAACCTTTACATTTAGGCTGCATTCATACCTAATCATTTTGTAGCTCAAATGTGTAGGCTCTACGACACTCAACTGAATTATTGCCAATGGCCTGTGTCCACACCTGAATGTTGTGTCACTTGTAGGAAAACACCTGTAGCACACAAAAGACAATGTGCTTCTTTTGGAAAACAGTAGAAGCAGGGACACCGGCACTCCAGTATAAGCGTGAAGATAAAGTCTTATTTATTGAAGAAATACGACATATCACAAAGATGCGATGACCGTTTTCGGGGTCACGCAGGATCCCCTTCCTCAAGCAACGACATGTGAGAACAGTCACTCTTTTGGAGAACAGTCAAGAGTTTTGCTCAAAATAGACTTCAATTGGAGCATCTGAAAAAGCCACGGTGTTTTTACCTAGTAAGTAGCTTTGAATTGACTAAAAACAAAATAAAAACACAATCGAAAAAACACACAGAGACGCTCAGCTCAAGCGTGAATGTTGCCTAAAGGATTGGCTAGCACAGGTACATCAGAATGGTTTGATAATGGCTCTAAAATGTTGAGCTACACATTGTGTATTTTTGTTTGTATGTTGTATGTATGTCCTTATAATTTTCTATATATCACTGCTAATAAAGCAGAGAGAAATAGTAATAACCAGAGATAAACAGAGACAGACAGACGATGAAACCCATAGCAACTAAATTCCTTCCTGCAACTAAAAGATAAAACTTAAAACACAGGGGCGTAACTAGAAATCACAGGGCCCCATAGCAAAATGTTGTATCCCCCCCCAAAAAAAAAAAATGCCACTGAACAACACATTGCTACAGTTATGTGGCACAGTGTCTGAGCTACAACATATATAATTATATATGATATGATTACATCCAGTTAGAAAACAATCATTGTTCTTGGATGCATCAATCGTGCATCCAGGGATAGTGATTGATTCCGAACCACATGAAATCATATCACATACCATTACATGCAGTGTGCCAGCGTGTACATGCAGTGGCTGTCACCTGATCATTAACTTTAATGGGTGACAGCTGTCGCTTGTAAACGACTGATTAGGGATTCCTCCCGAAGGAAAACGCAAGTTCCCTAATCGCACCTAAACTTACAGGTGTGAATGGGGCCCAATACACACACATAGAGAAATACACCCCCCCCAACAAAT